CCACTAGTCCACGGCGTCGCAGAGACCCGGTGCAGACTCTTGCCCCAGCCTTGTCAGCCCTCTCCTTCCACTGGGAGGCAGGGCTTCGTGTTTGCACTTTCTTGCTAGGATCCCGAACCCGAGGCTGCAGAGCTGACGGCATCCTGCTTCCTGTCCCGGAAAGCGAAGCGACTGGTTTGGGAACAGGGTGCTCTGATTTGGAGCTCCTCCCATCCCATAAAAGCTGGGACGCTGTCTGTGAGCAACTGTACAAAATAACACATGTAACCTCCCCTGGGAGTCAGTCCTGACAGCTTCCTTGATTTAAATGTTCCATACCCCCCCACACACATCCAAAAAAGATAAAAATATCTATGGCCTCCCTGTGGAATTACACTGTGACTGGCTGCTGATAGGATAAGTCACCCAGTTGTTTATTGACGTTTCAGACACTTGACTAGATTGATTTCTACCAGAAAAGTGACATTGGGTCTGTGAGATAAAACTGACTAATGTATTATCTTATTACAGGAATGTCGGATTGCACATCCTATTGTAAAATGTACTTACTGCAGATCAGAATTTCAGCAGGAGAGGTTTGTATACTAAGCACTTTTTCATTGTTACAAATTCATGTAAGGAATGTCTGGGGATTGTCATATGTTACAGCGTTTTGAGAAAATACTTTTGCTTCTGAAATTTAAAATTAAGAACTTATATACATAGTATGAGAGAACACATTTAAAAGTCTTGGTATTTTTTTAGAACTAGACTTCAGTTTGAACATGAGAAAATAGGGGATAAATTGATGGAAGGAAAATGTACACTTTTGCCAACAATCAAAATACAATTATTTTTAAACTTCTTAATGGAAAATGCTAATGAACCAGAGGAAAGAGCTATAGTGTTACCAGCTGCCTTCCAAGACTGAAGTCACTGACATTTCAGTGTGACTAGGACAGATGTCTTTAACAGAAAATCCTCTTTTAGAGGACACACAAGTAAGTAGCTCAAGAGAACAAATTATTTTTGTATGTGTGGAAATCGCAGTGGGGAACAGCTGACTGAGAAATGAGAGGCCCTGATGCATGAACGTGTGTATTTATATTGGTAAGGAAAAGCTTGGAACCAGAGGGAAAGACATCAGGTCTTTTGTTTTCTTCCCAAAATTATACAGTAAGTTGGTTGCCTGTAAACACAGTGTTTAGAGGTAGAGACAGGAGAATTACCACTTAGAGACAAACCTGGACACATATCCTGAGACCTTGATACTCTTGTCTCTAATAATAATATGAAAATTTTGTCTTGAAGAGAAATAAGTTTACAAACAACTATCCTAAAATTAGTATCCATGCCTTTAAGAAGTACTTGTGAATTAGTAAGTAATCTACAAATCTTTTGACTTTGGCCATTTATTGGAGATCAACATATGTTACTTAGCCTAGACAGCCACATAACCCTAATCATCTGGGTGTAATTTCCTTTTCAGCAAAACTAACACAATCTGTAAGAAGTGTGCTCAGAATGTCAAGCAATTTGGAACAGTAAGTATGTTTTTCATTTCATGGGATTATTATTGGCCAATTATGGTTCTTTAGGACTTTCTTATAAAACAATCCAGTGTCTGTACTTAAGTCTCTCAACATAGCAAAATAGCTCATGGGGAAGAAAATCTATATAGTCTCAGATGGGAAAATGAAAACAAATTCAAAACAACTGCATGCTTACCTGTTATGTAGTGAATTTCAATGTGCATTTTGTGAAACTATTTCTTAAAGACACAATTATAGCAAATTCCTTAATGTGGTGAGCTTTTATTTACAATGTTAACATAATCAAACTTTTCCCTGGTTTCTGCAACTTTTTATATGGCAGTACAGTTCATGTGTTCAAAACTAATGACAGTATCCTGGTACAAATTGGCCCACATGTATGTTGTAGATGTTAACATAATAATACTGTTTATGATAGGTCAAAAAAAAAAGATATTTGCAGTATGCATTTACTGTGACAACTACCTACATGCAGTGAAATTCTTTTTAGTTGAATAAATGATACAACAGTTAAGCCAGCTAGCATATCACAAGTTCATTTCCTCAAATTATAGAGTCATGAGACTTTTCTGTGAGTAACTATCTAACCTCATAAGCAAATTCTGTGTTATTTAAGTCCTGAGTGTGTTTCTCACAATGGTCAGATTTTTTGAGCATGCACAGTTGAGCTTTCTGACTGTCGTAATAAATGTTAGTTGAATGAATAGGCCCATATGTGACTTTGAACATGTATTTGGCAAAAACAGATGTTTTTAACTTAACTTTCCTTCATTAACTCTGCAAATAACTAATACTGGATGTGTCTTATATAACAAAGTTTTAAATGTCTCAATGAAACTGTTTTTATTTTGCAGCCCAAGCCTTGTCAATACTGTAACATAATTGCAGCATTTATTGGTACCAAGTGTCAGCGTTGTACAAATTCAGAAAAAAAATATGGACCACCTCAGACCTGTGAACAGTGCAAACAGCAATGTGCTTTTGATCGGAAGGAGGAAGGAAGAAGAAAAGTACGTTTTATTTGTTAAGACTTCTTCTAGAAATAAAATACCAGACAACTTGGCAATTACTATCAGTATACCTCTAAGACATTTGTTTCTGATACCTGAAAGCGGAAGTGGAAGAATATATAGCATATCTGTCTTTGCACCATGCATGGATTTGTGTTGATATGTTAGGATGACTGCACTTTAAAAATCAGTTGTGCTGATTGTACTGTATGCCTGTTGTCCCAGCTCCTTAAGGGTGAAGCTGGAGGGTCATTTGAACCAAGGAATTCAAGATCAACCTAGACTGTCTCAAGACTTTTTAATTACTCTGTGATAGCTATTCTGCACTGTGTATTCCCCAGTTCAGTTTTGCAGTAAATCCTTTCACTTACACCCTTTTGCTGGTTACTTAAAAATGTTGGTGTGAAAAAAATACCCATATTAGTTCATAAAATTTGAAGTTAGTATTTTTCTTTTGTTTACTCTCATGTTTGGAACCGATGTTTCTCTCTGCCTACAGTGACTTAATTACTAGGTATACATGTGTCATTCCTCTGCTGACCAGCACTCACACAGACTTCCTGTTGTCTGTTCATCTCAGTTGCTTTGGGGGATGACTGTCTCTTTGAGGGGCTTACCCAGATCCCGAAGTACTGTATACACCTCCAGCACTTCCTCTGTGCAATGAAATGAAATGAAATGAAAGAAGGCAGAAACTATACTTTAATTTTCAAAAGAAGGCACTTCTCTCCCCTGGACTCTCATGATTGAGCCTCATTGTTTGCAGTTGTGACAGTCTATAAAGTTGCCAGACTAGTGAACTGTGGCTTGTAAGGGAAATGGAGGATTAAGTTCCTGCCTATAATCGTAACATGCTTGTCAGTTCACCATTACATTAGTGATTTTTGTGTCTGTTAAGATAGCTTGTGTAAATTTAATTGAATACATGGCCAGGATCAGTAATAATAGTTGAACAAATCTTAACCAACATGTTTTTCCATAAGGATCATCATAGCCTTTTTTAAAACTAAAAATGGCAGTACTAAATGGCCTGTGGGAAGAACAGTTGTTGACAGTGTGAGAGGAGAAGCATGGAAGAGTATCACCACCTCATTCTGCGATAGTTGGGGCTGTGACATCTGTTGGCATGAGTTTTCCACTGCTCTGAATGTCTGTAAATAGGATTTTAGACTTAGAAATCAATACACAAATCTACAGATAAATAAACTCTGAAGATAATGAGAATTGATTGTTACTTGGACTCTGTTTTTGTTTAAGTCAGTACTTAACTATTGTGGAAAGTACTCTATCATTTTGGTAATTACGGAGAGACTAAAACATTTATGCTAGAGTTTTAAAAAATGGTCAGCCATTTGTACTCCTTTTTAAAATTTTTTTTATCTTTATGTCTATAAATGTTTTGCGTGCATTTATGAATATACACTGTGTGCTTGTCTGATGCCCATAGAAGTCAGAA